ATGAAAGGAAAGAGGTAGGAAGTAGGTGCACGGCGTGTTTATTCCGTCATCCGAATCCCGACAAAAAATAAATATAAAATCCCAAATTAAAAAACAAAGCAATCAATCCAAAACATTATCCACAACGCAGCCCATCTAACACATCCAATTCAGCCTCTTACGTGTCATCCACCGTTGGATTCTTCCACGTGTCAACTTGCCCCATCGCAGCCGTTCCCACTAGCCGAAACTCGAACCTTCCCGTGTTTGCGCCGCGTCAGCATTTTATCCAAAGCTCTCACGTGCCTCCAGCACATTTGAGGTGGGGTGGAGTACAAGCGCATGAAATTGACACGTGTTTATTGAACATATATAATTAAGGTAGCTAGCAGTAAAAACGAAAATTGATTTCTCTTCTTCTGGTCCGACTCGTACGGCTTAGATATTTTGGTGTTTGTTTGATTAATTCTTCGTTTTTTCGACTATGGTTCAATTGATGAATACTGTTGAAGTGTTGCCGGAGTTGCAGTGGCGGAAGGGGAAAACGGCGGTGGTGAAGCTGGAAATAGAGGATGATTTAGATGAAGCACACGGCCCACTCAACAAGCGATCAAAGCTTTCCTCTTCTCTCCAAGTTTGTTTTCTTTTCGTTATCTCCCTGTTTGTTTTATTTCACATACTGAGTTTCTGTGTTACCTTTATTTGCATATTTACAAACATGTACTCACGCTTTTTGCTATTTTGTTTCCCGGAGATGTTTTTTTCCCTCTTCTGTGCCAGTTTGTTGTTTCAATTTTCAACTGTCTTTGTGTTTGTGCTTTGCTTGCTTTTTAGAACAATAACAGAGAGATTTTACTCCTTCCGCTTCATTATACAATATATCAAATTGGCTTTAGCATAAGCCTTGTTCAACATGCCATGTCATTATTCCTTGAGTAAGTCAATTAAGGGAAATTGATGACAAATAGGATGTTAAGATTAAAGAGTTTGTAAATATAGAAAGGTGTAGCAAATAGAAAAGGGAAGAGTGCCAAATAAAAGGTAATGGAGGGAGTATCTTATAAACATCTGTAGCAGAATGACAGTAAAAACTTATCCGGTGTTTACACCAAATCATGCTAATTTATCATGGTTAAGTATAAATTAAGGTGAAAACATATATTAATTAACTATGGTTTAGTGATAAGAGTGTATGTAAAGATATATGTCATATAATCATTGGGTTGGTGTAAATATCGGGTGTACGTAAGTTTTACCATTGGTCAAATTGGGTATAAGTAGTGGACTCATGCTTATTGATGTATTATTACTGGCTATGCCTTTTTATACTGCTTTAAGGTGATTCCTGTGACGCTTATTGTATGATTAGCTTACCTGAATCCGGATCTTTTTGCTATAGCAGCAATTGAGTGTAGGAGCTGACGGTTTCCCAGTACCACCATCGCAGTACAACCCGCTAGATGAGCCCAGTCCATTAGGTTTGAGGCTGCGGAAGAGCCCATCGCTGTTGGATTTGATCCAGATGAAGCTTTCCCCGGGGAACAACCCCAAGGTGGGAAATCATGGGAAGAAGGAGCAGAAAGGAAACTCTGTAACTACTGAAAAACTAAAGGCTTCAAACTTTCCTGCCTCAGTCCTGAGAATTGGGAGCTGGGAGGTATTTTAGTTTCAAAAATAATATGTAATTTACAAATTGCAGTTTAGAAGTACTAGTAGTGATTGAAATTCTGTTTTGTGTGCAGTATAAGTCAAGATATGAAGGGGATTTAGTAGCAAAATGTTACTTTGCGAAGCATAAACTTGTTTGGGAAGTCCTTGATGGCGGTCTCAAGAATAAGATAGAAATCCAGTGGTCCGATATTATGGGTCTGAAGGCAAGTTACCCAGATGATGGACCTGGAACCCTAGACGTAGAGGTAAGTGCTAATGGGTCGTCTCATTTGCTGCTGTTATTGTTAAACTATATGCTATATGAGAATTGGCAAATGTATTTCTGCAACTCTTTTCATTGTCCTTAAGGTGATGAAAGGACTAAGGGATTCTTGTGTTGCAGCTAGCAAGACAACCTCTTTTCTTCAGGGAAACAAATCCACAACCCAGGAAGCATACTCTGTGGCAAGCAACATCTGATTTTACTGGAGGACAGGCTAGCATACACAAGTATGTTTCTGATATTGTTTTTAGTCATTAGCGATTTCTTGTTTTCTGTATGAACCAGAACTTATAGTTGTTGTTTTTACTAATTTTCCTTTTTTTCCCTGGGCACCAAGTACTCTTCGGTTGCTTATTTTAGCCGGTTGCTAGGAGTCTAGGACTATGAAAGTATCAAGATAATGACTGAAACTTAATTGCGACCTCCTCGGAAACTGTGTACTTTAAGTCCTAAAGTGAGTCATTACTGATTTAATGTTGACATCTGGAGTTTGAGAAAGCTTTGCGGATTATGTTGGGCCTCTTTATGCCTTTTTATCCTTTGGATGTCGGGAAACTTTTCACTAGGATCATTCTACCTCTATTTACTCTATGAAGTTAAATAGCAGCCTAGCGCAGCCACCTAACCCCCATTTTTTGCAGCAGCAGTAATCCAGAGGATCTATAATTTTTAAGTCTTTGCATGGACTTGATTTAATGGCACTGCTGTTATAAGCCTGCTTAGCTCAGCATTACTCCTATTTATGTTCGCAATTTTGTAGCATTTCCTTGACCATTATCTTTAACGTGGTTCAGTTTTGATGTTAAACCCCATTTTTATGTTTTCCTTTTTAGGCAACATTACTTACAGTGTCCACCGGGCTTGATGGGAAAGCATTTTGAAAAGCTCGTTCAGTGCGATCCTCGTCTTAACTTCCTAAGTCAACAACCAGAGATTACACTAGATTCTCCATATTTCGAATCCAGAATTTCAGTATTTGAAGACCCAAATGTATCTGACTCAGAGTTTAATCTGAATAATGAGAAAAATACCCCCTTTCTCAACTTGCAAGGTCCTGCCTCACCTTCAGAAGCCTATTGTTCTACCTCAAAGGCTGAGCAAGATGTTGTTAGAAGACCATTGGAAGGTGTTCCTCCTGAGAGACGTTCGCCAATCTCAGGTAATAATATATTAATAATATTCGTTTGGGTAGGAACCCGAGCCTTGTAACAAGTTGGATTTATCTGTTTGATTCATCTTCGAGGACGTCATATTTCTTATTTGTTTTTCTTAAAGTTTTGTTGTTCGGGTCCTGGTTTTATTTAATATATTACATTCTTTTTCTGTCGCTACAGTTCTCGTTAGTTACTTCAACCTAGCATCTAAGGACCATTGACACTTCCAAATTATGTTGATGCTCTAAGCTGGATCTAACTGATCCTGAACTAATGCTTGTACCCACACAAGCAACCATTATGGAGGTTTGCTGGTCTTGAATCTGTTTTAATTAGTTTTACTGTTATGTAACCTGCAGTGATGGATACAAGGGCAACTCAACATGTTATGAGTAGAGATATGGAGAAATTGAAAGGTCTCAGTAACCTGGAGCAGCTTAAAGTGCCTGGTCTTCATCCTTCCATGTCAATGAAAGATTTAGTGAGCCACTTTGAACAACGTTTCTCCGAGCAGGGTACATCTGAAGATATCAACCTGTCAAGTGATGAACGGCAAAGCTTGCAGATTCTGGAAGATATCTCGAGGTGCTTGTTTAGTGACACTCAGAATATGCCAGAATCAGATGAGAAATCCCTCATGTCTAGGGTGAATTCTCTGTGCTGTCTTATTCAGAAGGATCCTGCAACAGCTCATAAGAGTGAGAGTTCAGGTTATGTTGCTGTTGAAGGAAATAGAACTGATGAATTGAGTTTCTTTCCCGTAGCAGCAAGTGTAGATAAGGTTGAAGATCCTTCTACAACAGAGGATAAATCAAATGATCCAACTCCGTCAATGTCGAGAAAAGACTCCGTTGGGGAGTTGTTGATGAATCTGCCAAGGATAGCATCATTGCCTCAGTTTTTGTTCAATATCTATGAAGATTCTGAATACCAAGCTAGATAGCACCTGTTTAGTTTATCATCATTTGAAAGGATGGTGAAGTTAAATCTTGTATATAACAAGTCGTAGTGCCCTCGAAGACACTGCTTAGCTATACTGACTTTTGAATTTGACATGTTATCTAGTCTTTAGATGTTGTGCAGGTAGTTCAATCATCTTCTGTTTTAGTTGGTACCAAGATATAATGTTCTCCAAGTGATTCAAATATTTCTTGTTGACATTCTTTCATGATTTTTCTCTAAGATCGGTGGTCACAAGCCTGATCTTATTTTGAACGGGATACATTTGTAATTTGGTATCAGAACTTTGGCAAAGGCGTAGAAGCTCGCGTTGAAGGCATTGATTTAATGGTTCGGGATATAAGGGACAATTTTGGTGCAGTTGGATATAAGGGACCATTTTGGTGTAGTTTGTGATTGGATATAACCGTAGAATAACTCTCCTATGCACATATCACTCTTTGTGACACATTCCATATTCTCATCATCGACGCTATCTAGACTCGAGGCTTGGCTAACTAAAGTTAATCGGACGAACACCAAGGACTTTCGATAGACTTAATTCGTCCCTAGAAGTTGTCATATTTTTCCATTATAGTTTTAAAATTCAGTTATTACTTGTTCCGTTGAGCTAAGTCCTAACAGTTATTTTTCTGAAGGAGCGGGAAGAGTGTACGAATTGGCTTCGTTGCTTCGGTCAATTCAACAATATAGGAAGTCACAAAATCAGCAGCTAATATATTTTGGCCATTTAGAAGGCTTCTAAACTCCTTAATTTTCTTTTTCTATATGATAAGAAGTTTTATTTCTCTTTTTTAATTTAGTTCTGCGAAAAGGGACCCGTGTTGAAACTTCTGGTTGTTGCCTTGATGGAACTGGGTTTGATTTGTCCTTTCGCACTCTACCCTATAATATTTTTGACTTTGAATGAATACACAAGCACAACAGCTACTACGTTTGAACAGACACCAGGCACAGTTTAATATTGAAGCGTCTTAACACAAACAAAATATATACACCATATTATAAATATTCTTAGAATTAAACAGTACATAATATTGCGAAATACTGGTGGTATTCTTACACAGATATTAATACATCTTGACAGCACAACAGAAACTTACTATATCCGTCCTATTATTGTCTAAAGAAGTCTACAAAAGAATAAAGAAGCCTACTAACTAGGAATCATCTGTACCTTCATCATCAATGCCATCATCGTTCTCCTGTATCATGTTCATAAGGACATTTATTTGGCTTTGCAACATAGCATTTTGCCTCTCTACATCGGCACGCTTGCTTCTTTCTTCCAGCAGCTGTATTTGCAGATGTTCCAGACATTGAGCATCTGCTTCTAACTGTTCGTTCAGACCATCTATTTCACGATCCTGCAGCATTATCACATGCTTAGTGTTTCCATTGAATATAAACTGGACAAGACGAAAACTTGAACAACAGAACATGCAGATTGGAGAGAAAATGGTCATTTTGAGAACAGCACCTTTCTGTTCATTTCCTGTAGAGCGATTCTTCGCATACTTTCAACAACATCCACATTTACAAGCTTCCGTTTCTTTCCAGCAAGCCAACCTTTGGGGTAACATGCAGCGTCAAAATCAGGTGGAGGGAGCAAAGATTCAGCTAATGGCCTTCGCCCATTTGCATTCGTAACCGGTTCCAATGGTTCAAATAACGCCTTTCTACGCTCGGAAAGTTCAGTAGACGGGTTGAATTCCTGCATCTTTTCATCAGCTGAAGACTCTTCTTGTTTTTTAGGTGTTTCATCAGCTTTAGCAGTCACTTGGTTGTCCAAGTTCTTCCCACTGGCTACTAGGTGAAGTATTTTCTTAGCATGACACAGGTATTATACAAAATGTGAATTGTGTAATGATTCCGCTTATAGTCATTACTCTATGAACTTTGTGAAGCATGACATGCAACAGGACTTTTGACAAAAATAGCACAACTATAGTATGTTCAGAAGTTGTTGACCGGTTCAAATTCAAAGATCAACTATGAGCATGATTAGAACTTAGAAGTTCGCTATATAATGAAAGCACTTGAACTAAAACTGACGGGGTTTATAGAGGTCACATGATGTGGAAGGACATTAATTTCTCTTCTGTTCAGCCACTCTCATGTACATAAACAATTCCTTATGCAATCAGATGTAGGTATTATAGCATTTTAATCTGATACTTTCCCTTGTTCCATTGCTTATCTTTCCATTATTTTTAGAGATTTAACAACAGTCCTACACGAAAGTTTAACAAAAGTCCGATACGCCTAGCCCGTTAGCATGTTGTAGAAATATTACTCCACTTAAGAAAATTTCCATACAAAGCTCAAGAGTTCATCTACCACTAATCTTCTCCAGTTGATCAGGGAAGAAATAAGACTGCTATTTGACAATCATTCTTGAAAAAACTATCAGGGTATCATTCAATAAAAAGATCCAAGTAATTTAGCTGAAACTTTCTTATTTTTTATTTAGAGAATTCTTCTCATGTCTTTCTAAAGGTAGGTAAGTCATTTTTGAAGGCATCTCCAAGAATATCCAAATAATTAAAAGGGTCCACTAAGGGAAAAATTTACAGAAGTCAACAATGCAGGACCAAGTCATTATGTCTAGAATAGATTCGTGCGCAAAAGATTAGTCTTTTAAGAATAAAAATACGATTACAGGAATTTGCCGTAGTTTATACAGGGAAACTCCTTAGCAAATACTAAGGTGAAAATTCACAGAAGAAACATGTAATGAATTTATTAGGAAACGAGTGCCAACTCATCACGACAAAGACAACCAAAAATATTAAAAATCAAAATTATTAATGCCAATAAGCTAATTTTCAAAATTTGATTTATATTCAAAGATCAAGCTTTGTAATTAGCTATAATATAGAAACTACGTGTCGGCAAAGGCGCCACCAAATCTTGCTAATGTTGTACGAAACCTACCCCTACCCCCAACCTCTAATGTCCTAAACTACCACTTTCCCCGAAAAAGGAGAGGAAAGAAAATAATTTAAGAAAAACTTATACAGAGGAAAATGTAAAGATACTCACTTAGTAATCAAAAAATTCAGAGAAGTATAATTTCACTCAAAAAGTAAAGAAGTAATCCTAATAGAGAAGATATCAAAGAAAGCATTTTCCTAACATTTCCAGAGAGAGAGATCTAGTGTTTTGCATGCAACTCACAGAGAACAAGCACCATTTTTTCACAAATTCCGTCATAAAAGAATATAAATACTTGTAATCAACATGTTCATTAGTTTAATTAATCAAAATTACTAGTTGACGGAGAAATAATTAAGAGCAAGGGGTGAGAGAAGTACCAGATCGTTTCCTAGACTTCCAGAAGACAGGAGTTGAATTAACTGGTGAAAATCCCTCCAAAATTCCTTCCATCTTCAGCTTCGTTTCCCCCATATATATATATATATAAGCCCCCTTTTCAACTTTCAATAAAACTCATCCAAAAACAGAGAGATGAATAAAAATAAAAATCTAATTTTCTTATAATTCTACAGTTCTATGAGCTATGAAGAGAGAGAGAGAGAGAGAGAGAGAGAGAGAGAGAGAATCGATAGCGTAGGAGTTGAACTTAGTCTGGTTGTCGCTGTATGTGTGAGGAAGAAGCGTTATTACCCACCTATTATTTCATCACACAACAAATATTGAGGCCTTTTTTGACAAGTAAACAAGATATGGTTAGAAAGAAACATAGACGGTGACGAAACCATCAAGGCAATTCACGGTCCTGATTTTGTTGTTTTTTTGTTTTTAACGGTGATGTTTGTTTTTCTTGTTTTGTGTTCCTACTTCCTATTCATGCCGGACCCCACCCCTTATTTTATGTATTTATTCCCCAACATAAATTAGTATTCATTTTTCTTGTTGGGAAATTGTGATTTTCTTCTCTAAAAAATAAAAACACTGGCGGTCAAACAGTGTCCAAGAATTTAATAACAAAAGGATATACGGGTATTTGGGCAAGTGCACAGAAAACCAGTTTTAGAAATTAATCTGTACTTATTAGTCGGTATTTATTTTGTAAATAACAGTCTTATAAAGTGTCATTTTTACGGGTTATCGGTATTCTCCATCACTTCGGGCCGAAACGTTTAGCCCAAAGATAATGGATTGAGCATTTAAGCCAGCTTATTCTCTTTATTATTTGAATTATGTTTCCAAATTAACAAGTTGTTTTATAAATATCCTAAAGAAAGAAAAACCTATGTATTAAGTTCTAATTATGTCGGTGCGTTTACTATAGGTCTTACATTTTCAAGTCAAGGTTACAAGAGATTTATATGCTAGTAAAGCTATAAAAAAAAAAAAGGGGAACTTCCAAGGCCAATGCCTTATTCTTTATACCTGCGCAAGGCAACATGTCAAATTTCCCACCAGTTTCTGATCTCCCTTTGACAAGTTACTTTTAATTATTATAATACGTGTTTATGTTATGGTTTTAATATTACTTTCGGGAGGGATGAAAGGTGTTGAAGAATTAAAAATACGAAGTCCAACGTAGAAACAAAGGACTATAACCCGATCCTAAGAAAATATGAGTTGCCACTTGAATGTATGGGTAGCAACAGAGACAATGGTTCAAATACCTCCTCATTGTAGAACCGATCCTCGTCACTGACTGCGGTGAGTTATCCACAGGAGTAGAAATCTAATGGATAGGGCTCCTAATGAATAAATTATAAGTCATTGTTGATGAGATCAACTGTAACTTGGATACAACAACAACAACAACAAAAAATCCAGTATAATCCCACAAATGAAATCTGGGGAAGGGAGAGTGTACGCATGCCTTACACCTACCTGATGAAGATAGAAAGACGGTTTTCAATAGACACTCGGCCCAAGAAAACAGTTGTAACTTGGATGTTCCAGTTTAATAGTTCTGTCATTCACAGGGGTCAAAAGCTGAGGTTCTATGTAACTTTACATAATGGGGATAATCTCTACCCATGGGGCTCTATTGTCACCACCTCCTATATGTACAGTTCCACGAACTATACCCTAATCCTGTTCACACCCTTTACAAAAAGTTGGGAGCCCTTTCATTGTCTTTTGCAATGTCAGATTACAAAAACTCCCGTCCCAAACAATTTGAGGAAACAGATCATATCATGTTTCACCTAAAGCGCAAGGAATGCAAGGAGGGTTTTTTGACTGGTCTTCTGGCGTGATAATCTGCAAACAATGGTCATGAAATACATGTCCACAGGGAAGAACAGCAACAGCAGGTGGAACAGCGGGCCGAGACACAGGGCCTTCCGGGTTGAATGCCACATCCCTCTTGCACAACATGCACTTTTCTCCAATGGGTTGTTGAGCCGATTCTTCAGAATCTGCTAAGATTTTCCAACATTACAATGCTGTCTCAACAGTAAGCAGTAAAATGGGTACAATGAGTGTAAGCAGCTGTGTGTATGGCTATCCACAATGCCTTGTTTCTATTACAAACATTCCATTCAAGGTTTTCCTACAAAGTTACAGTTCAAAAAAAAAAACAGTTGATCTGTAAGTTTGTAGGAGAAACTTGAATAGAATGTTTGTAATAGAAACAAGGCATTGTGGACAGCCATACACACAGCCTGATTGATAAACCATAGAAGAGAAATGACATAAAAATAGATGGTGGAGTACATTACATACTCAGCACATTATACACCAAAGAGCTACACCCATATAGCACATGTAATTGATTGACTATTATACACCAAAGAACAACACCTTGACTATTATACACCAAAGAGCAACACCCATATAGATCCGACATGACATGGTGTGGACAGTGGCGGAGCCAGGATTTTTACTAAGGGAAATCAAAATATAAAGAAGTAAATACACAAAGAAGACAAGGGGATTCAACATATAGTATTTAAACATAAATAACATTTTTACCTAAAAATTTCCAGCGAAGGGACACCTTGGACAAGGGTGCCTCCGCCAGTGGGTGTGGAATACACACCGGGTTTGCTCAATTCACATAGGGTGTGTTGCCCACAACTATGAAGGAGAAACATAGGCTCGTTGTTTTTTTGTCGTCGCCTTGTGTGTGTGTGTGTATTCGCATAGAGTACTAGAAAACTATCATCTAATAAGATACACTTACGGAATAAGATATTAGATACTCCCACCATTTTAATTTATGTAAACCTATTTGACCGGGATAAGAAAAAGAGAAACTTTTGAAACTTGTGGTTGTAAACATGCCATAACATTTCTGAGGTTATAAATCTTTTGAAACTTATAGTGTACAACATGACATCATTTGTATGGCTGTGAAAGCTTCTCATTAAGAGTAATATTGGAATACTAAATTAAAAGTTTCTATATTAGAAAAGAGTTCATTCTTTTTTAAACTGACTAAAAAGAATAGGTTAACATAATTTGAAAAGGATGGAGTATTTATTAAGAATATATTCAACGATATGTCTTGGTTTAGTGACTTCTCTATTTAACTACTAAAATATATTCCTATATCAAACTATACAATTATTAACCTATCACAGCTCCTAATCTTGAAATTTAGGTGATGATGACAAATCCAACATCTAAATCTGTACCTTACAGTATACCTGCACATGGCTGGCCATGTAGCTGACGTCTATAGTCACATCTATGGTGTCAAAACTTGTAATTTACAGCGATATAGATGTCAGAAGAAATAGAAACACAACAGAGATGCAGCACATCAACATATATAATACAGCTAGATGACTGATCAAGGCAGAGCAGGTGAAGAAAACACTGACGTCCTCCAGGATGAACTCGTGGAAATGCTAACGAACAATGTAGGTCGTGTACATTTCCGTGGTGAAGAAACAAATTGCACATTGTTTACGAGAGTTACAACACAAACCACATTACAATGGAAAGCACAAGAAACAGTATCTTGAAGATCAAAACCTAACAAATTAATTACACTTCAAAAATACAGAAAACAGATGTGAGATAACTTGAGATACCTTGGCACTTTACATGGGGCAAAGGAAGAGAAGGAGAAGAGGCAGGAACTGGAGCATTAGAGCTCTGCCTCTGTGCTATCAGCTGTTGATATCTATGTTGAGCCAATGTTCTCCTTCGCTGACACGTACGAGCAATTGGAGGGGGGGCTCCATTTGCTCTTCTTTTAAGGGAAACATGGCCATGAATATTCGAAGCCTGAGGTGTTGCATCAACCTTTGAAATTGGAATGCCTTGACCTGGGTGTAGCAAATGTTACAGAGTAAAAATCAGGAATCAGCATGTTTTGGCACTATAAAGTGCATGCCACCAAAGATGCAAATGAGAGACATTGTCAATGAAATAACCAACAACGAGAGTTCCTTAGAATGGGTTTGTGGCGTACCAGCATGATAGGGTAGTCCAGTAACATTATACTTAGCTGCTGAACCACCATGAGGCTGACCTAGATGACATCAGAACAATCTCTTCAGATGTTATGCAGAGGTCAGATCACTTTGAATTCATAGAAAAACAAACTGGAGCATTTATCTGATATGAACAAAGTTAGCAGATACCCATAGCCAAAGGGGGGTGAAGAAGTCCAGTGGGGTGCATGGTAGGTCCATTATCTCGAGACTGATATGAGTTGCCTACAATATTATTGCCATCGGAAAAAAAAATGAGAACAGCATTTGACAAAAGGTAAAATGTAAACTCAGCTGCACAATGTTCTGATCTCAAAGTTCCATGGATTCGCTTATGAGTATGTATCCAATATGGCATAGTGGAAGTATTTGCAAAAGGTGCATTTTTTTTCTGGTTTTAGTGTATTCTGAAGAATCCACACAATACACACACCTGTTCAACATGGGAACGTCAAATCATATTAAAGATCCATCTAACGCAGCCTAATCTGCCTCAGTATTTCAGCAAGTCCAAATAGCTATAAATGAAGTTCAACCACTACAACTGATGGACATAATCATCATCCTCATTTTGATTATCATCCTGCCACATTATTTTTCCCCAGCAGTGCCTAACCAAAATTTTCATGGAAGCTTAATATGTTTTTGGCTTCTTTTTTTATCCGATAAACTCATTCTTAAAGAAGATATGATATTCTTTTTTTAACATATAAGTACAAGTGCATGCCACAATAGTTCAACATGATTTACCCTTTCTAATTTGCTGGATGCCTCCCATCCCGGGAAGAACACCTTCTCGAGTAGCTTGAGAAATAACCCCATCATTAAGCTGGACACCTAGCCTCTTAGGAAATTGATTGCCAGGGGCAGGTTGGATGCCACTCCATCCCGCAAATTGAGCTCCCGTTCTTTCAGGAAATAGGTTATCACCCCAAGGATGCGGAACATTAACAAAAGATTGCTGACCTGAAAAAATTTGGTCATAACAATGTTACGTACCACAGTAAGTCAATAAGATTGCATTAGACTACTAGGCAATTTGTGAAATCCAGTCAATAAGATTGCATTAGACTACTAGGCAATTTGTGAAATCCACTAGGACAAGAATACTAATATATGATTCGACAACAACAACGACCCAGTGAAATCCCACGAGTGGGGTCTGGGGAGGGTAGTGTATACGCAGACCTTACCCCTACCCCGAGGGGTAGAGAGGCTGTTTCCAAAAGACCCTCGGCTCAGGAAGATGAAAACAAGACGAAAAGAGACAATATA